TGGTGTCCTCTCCTCCAAAGAAATATTTAAAGCAAATTTTAATTGCAGCCAAATCCAGTATGTAATGTCTTTACTATTCAAGTTTAATGTATTTCTTGCTGAAAGATGTGAGGTAGTTTAGTATGCAACAGATTACCTAGAAAACAGCCAGGTATTATGTATGAAATATTTGTGCTGGTTTGAAGATAGTCCCTCTAAATCATCAAGAAGAAATAAAATAATTTACAAAAAAAAAAAAAAAAAAAAAAAAAAACCTAGGATCATTAGTGAGTAGTAAGCAAAGCCAGAGCTGGAATTGGCATTTGACATAGAAGGTGGCAAAGCCTTGAATAATGTGACTGGAGAAGCACTTGGAAGACCCTACCTGTCATGGACTATTTTTCTTCATACACATGGCACAATGACTTTATTCCACTAGTAAACATTCCCTACGAAATCATCTACAGAACTGTCACTTGGTCTTTTTCTAAAACTCAACCCTCCTTGGAAGATCATAAAATATATAGAAGAAACAGTTAGGAGTCTGAGCATGGTAGTGCACACCTGTGGTCCCAGCCGTGGAGGCTGAGCTGGGGGTGGGGCACCAATTGAGCCCAGGAGATCAAGGCTGCAGTGTGTCATGATCATGCCACTGCATTCCAACCTGAGGACAGAGCTACACCTGTCTAAAATTTAAAAATAAAAAAAGAGATAGGAAACCCTGTTTTGGGTCCTCCATTGGCTATGTGACTTTAGATAAATCACTTAAATTCTCTGGGATTGCATTTACTTTTTTATTAAAAGAGAAATTTCTAGTGTCTTCATTTTTCCCTGACCATTTGTATATCCCCTATATCCTTAATCAGCCACTCGCTTTCAGTCTTAGCTTACAAGCTTTCCCTGATAGACAGAGATCCCTTCATTTACAAGATTTATTATTATTATTTTGAGACAGAGTCTCATTCTGTCACCCAGGCTGGAGGGCAATGGCGCCATCTCAGTTCCCTGCAACATCTGCCTCCCAGGTTCAAGTGATTCTCCTGCCTCAGCATCCCGAGTCACTGGAACTCCAGTCATGTGGCACCAGGCCCAATTTTTGCATTTTTAGTAGAGATGGGGTTTCACCATGTTGGCCAGGCTGGTCCCGAACTTCTGGCCTCAAGTGATCAGCCCACCTGGGCCTTCCAAAGTGCTGGGATTACAGGCATGAGCCACCACACCTGGTCTACTCACAAGATTTTTTACAATATAATGCTTTCCATACTCTTGGGTAATTGTAATTAACTAACTTATGAATCCCCAGACTGGGGTCTTCCAGAGGACAGTGCTTGAATTGTCACTATTATTTTTCCAGCCAAAGATACATTCACTATAGTTGTATTACAATGGAGACTTCATGTCCTAAACTCCTAAATGATTAACCTCCTAGTGTGAAATAATGTAAAAGAATTTGTCTGATCAGTTTTATCTATGACAAAAGAGATATGGGGTGCGATAGGCTGGAAGATGAATGAGGGAAGAGAAGACTAAAAAGAAGAAAAAAAAGAAGGCAAGAATGAAGCTCGTTGGCTCACACCTGTAATCCCAGCACTTTGAGAGGCTAAGGTGGGCAGATAACTTGAGGTTAGGCCTGGCCTGTGTGTGTGTGAGAGAGAGAGCACGAGAGAGAACAGACCTTTACATCTTTTAATTTCTGACACAGGCTAACACTGCCTAATCACTTTGACATTGACCACCATGAAAAAAAAAAAGCAGATGTGATATGGGCAGAATTGATTTAACCAAAACAAGGGAGAGAGTGAAAAAAAAAAAGAAAAAAATTTCCTTTCAGGTACACCTGTTAGAATAGGGAGAGAAAGCACAATAAAAATGTAGAAAGCTTAAAGAGTCCCTGGGAATTACATACGTTCCATGGGTGAACTTTTAACTAGATTTGAAGCTTCTTTTCAAGTTACTGCTGAAAGAAAACTAATGGGCCAGGAACTACCTAAGCTATTTCAGGCAACCAGGCAAATGTTAGCTGGGCAAGAAATTCTTGAGATTATCTAGGCAAACCCCTCACTTTACAGATTAGAAAACTGAAGTCAATTGCATATAGTGACCCGGAGTGCCTTCAGCTATCTCAGGGACAGGGATCAATATGCAAGCTGATGTTTGCTTCATGAACTGTGTCTAAAAGATTATAG